ACCTGCCCACACATGCATACATACGTGCGTACCTACATAAAGACAGAGAGAAAGAAAGAAAGAAAGAGAGAGAGAGGGCCGCAGAAATTATTTGAATTGCCTATGCGGGCTTTGTGGGTGGGTGTAAATTGAGGGAGTGGTGGTGGTGGTGGTTTTTTTTTTTTTTTTGATTTTCTGTTTGATTTTGATTTTTTGTTGTTATTGTTTAATAATAATAATAATAATAATAATAAACAGCAACAAAGAACAAACGACGTGACAATCATGTATGTATTTTATTTTAATTTATTATTATTATTTTTATTTTTGGTGCTGGTGGAGACGTTGCGGTGCGGGCTGCTGCTGCTGTTGGTGGTGGTGGGGAGGAGGAGGAGGAGGGAGAAGTGTGAAATTTATATTTATTTATTTATTTATTTATTTATTTATTTTCTGCTTTCGTGGGAGGGGAGGGGGGATTGCGGCGGGTGATTTTGATGATTTCCTCCGCCCTCATTGTGGAGGAGGGAGGACGCATGCGTTCATCTGTTTTTTTTTTTTTTTTGTGTGTGTGCGTGTGGCTGAGGAACAAACGTCGGTGAAACACACAAACAAAAACAACATAAAATGAAATTAAGAGAAGAAAAAAAAACCCAAAAACTACAAAAAACAAAAGAAAAAAGAAAACTCTGTTTATTGTTAGAGTACAAGAAAAACAAATAAACACAAATATATCAATTTATACATACATATCTATGCGTACTGCATAATCGGCAAATATTTACACAGAAGGCGATGCGGCATTGACAGCGATGTGGTCAACGAGAAGGATGGGGATAGAGCGTGAAAGAATGAGGAAGAAAGAGAGAGAGAGAGAGAGAGAGAGGCGGGGAAGAAATTTTTATATTTATATATTTATACACGGACTTATTGAGACTTCACTCCTCCTCCTCCTCCCTTTTTTATTCCCTTTCCCCCCCCCTCTCTCTCTCTCTCTTTTTCTTCTTTCTCTCTGCAGCGTGAAGGGGTGGCAGAGGAGGAACGTTGTTGCCACTTTTTTTTTTTGTCATGTCCACTGCAAATAGACGCGTGCTTCTTTTTCTTTCTTTTTTTTTTTTTTTTTGCCCTTTTGTTGTTGGCGACGCATGAGGGAAGAAATTAGCGAATAAAAATAAGCAAAGAAGAGAAGACCAAAAAACAAAAACAACAAAATCAAATCAGTTGGAAGGGAGAAGTAACAGGCAGGTGGTAGAGCGGGGATACAAGAAGAGAGAGAGAGGGAGAGGGGCGAGGGTGCGGGGAAGCAAACGGCTGGGCTCGTCACCCATCAATACTCCGGTAACAAGGGAAAACAATTAAAAGGAAATATATTAATATATTTAGCCTCAAGGCTTATACAATTGCGGAAATACATCTATACATATAAATAGGGGCATTCTTAATACCACATTTATGCTGCGCGTTCGCCATTACATTTTGGGCACCCCAGCGGTAGCCCTCCGTCAGCGGTTTGGTGCATTGTTGTTTGGTCTTCGGCGACAGGCGACATCCGCACCCAGTGGAGACTTTTCACATGTCACACACAACACCGTGTGGGGCCTCTGGAATGAAGGCAACCTTTTTTCCCTCTCTGTTCCTGAACTTGCGTTTTTCCTGCAGGAGCACTGCAATGTGGCAAATGTGGACCCACGTGCGAAGAAGAGCGCGTTGGTGCGACAGGTGGAGGAGATCCTATCCGCTGAGCAGGCGAACATGACTGTGCAGCAAGAGGACAACCCTCACGCGGTGGTTGTGACGGACTATGATAAGGCGGAGGAGGGACTAGATGAGGCCGATGAATACGGTGACTGGGGCGCCGAGCCGGGATTTGAGGACAGGCGGGAATTAGACTTTATGGAGTTAAGTCCGGGCCGCATGGGTGAACGGTATGAGGCACTGACTCCTCGCGCCTATCAACTTATGCACAGCGAAATCTCCAGCGATGTGGGTATTGCGTGCATTGACCCCAGTAAACTTCCAGGTCATAGCAAAGTGAAAAGTTGCCTGACACCTGTTGACGTGAAACCAAATGATGCAAACAAGATGCATTTTCGCAATGCGTTTGAGTGGTGCCTAATGAACATTTGGAATATGAACATGCCAGGAGAATTAAACATTGGTGCTGGAAAGGTGCTTTATTACCGTCAGGTGGCAAAACAAAACCGCAATGTCATGCCGCTTTGGACGCTTCAAAAGCATCTGTACGCGCAACATCCATATGCGTGGTTTGCCATTGCCAGTGAATCCAATGTAGCGGCCATGGAAGGTCTTGCCGCCAAGCTCGGTATGACACTTGTGCAGGAGCCTACAACGAGCTACAAAGTGAACATTCGGCGTATGAATGAGTTTTTTGATTGTGAGTTAAACGGACAGCTGAAGTGCACCATGCTGAATAAGCCGTGGGATCGATTTTTGGTCTCGCACTACGTTCGTAGCAAAATGCCCGACCTGCGGTATACTGTGCGAGCGCGGCACCCAATCAAGAAGCGTGTGTCGGATGCCTACTTGGAGGCGGATATCCTTCGCAGCACACGAGAATCCGTCCAGTCGGTGCTCTCACCAGAGTTGGGTGATGTCGTGTACTGCTGTGAGCGTGTCATTCGAAAGTGGGCCATGCGCACGGCGACAGGCGCCACTTTGCAGCTTGTTGAAACGAAGCGCACGCCCCTCATCATCACAAGGGCTGGCGACGAGGGCGAGCGGCTGGAGTACGAGTGGATTGTTCCTTTACCGCAGCAGGCAGAACGTATCGACGTGGCCTCCCTCACGGACGAGTTGTGGGAGTACGGCAACAAGCTTGCCGAAGCGCTGGAGGAGGGAATGGAGGAGTTGATGGCACACACCATGTCAGCCGTCTCTGCCTACTGAGGCCGTTAAGAGAGGGAGGGGACAGAAAAGGAAGAAAATGAATATATTTGTGTTGCATGCGTGCATGAAAAGAAAGGGCCCTGCTCTCTTTTTTTTTTTTTTTTTTCTTTTTTTAGAAGAAAAAAAAAAAGGGCGGAGAGGAAACAGAAAGAAAAGAAGGAAAAAAGGAAGAGGAAATAAATAAATTGCCTTCTCACGTACATTTCACCAGCAGAAACCCCCACGCATGCATTACACACACTCACAGTAGGAATTTGTAACTCCCGATTTGATGCGCCGTATTTTGGGAGGGGAAAAAAAAAAAATAAAATAAAATAAAATAAAATAAAATAAAATAAAATAAAATAAAATAAAATTGGAACTGTTTTTTCACATTTTCCTTAAGGAAGCGAGGCGGTACCAAAAATTTTATTTATTTATTTTGTATCGTTTTGTTAAACAACAAAAAAGAGGGGGGAAAAAAAAAAGGAAAAGAGAAATAAACAAATAACAAAAAAAGAAGGGAATAAATGCATGCATGATGGGATGTGTGTGTTGTGCGTCATTATTATTATTATTTTTTTTTTTTCTCTCTCTCTCTGTTTGGCCTTAGAAAAAAAAAAGAAAAAATTATCAGCATTTTTTCTGTGTTGTTGTTGTTGTCGTGTGGCCTGCAGCGTGCCTCTTCTTTTTCTTTTTTTTTTTTTTTTTCCCTTTTGACGGTGGGGCATACGGCGACTCACACTTTTTTCTTCTCTCCTTCTCTTTCCCTTTTTCTGCTGGTTTCTCTTGTATTCTTAACAGGATTAAGCGTCACAAGCTGAAGTCTTTTAAGCGAGTTGTTTTTTCTCCAAATAAGGAGTCTGCAATAGTAGGAATAGGTTTAATAAAAAGAAAGAGGAAAAGGTGCCAAACGACGACGAAGAGGTCGGGGTTCGTAACAGCTTTGAAAAGCTGTCCTAGTGCGTGCAGGTGTTGCAGCTATTGTAGCGATACAAGGCTGACGGCTGCGTTATCGGCACAAGGAAACAGTATTGAGAAGGAAAGGTGTAGTTTTACGCATATATTGATTGCGAGAGGGTACACACCACATACCTGAAAGGTAAAAAAGGAGTCAATAAATAAACAGAAATAAATAAGAAGCAATTTTTGTAGCCAATCTTTTTATTTTTATTCACTTGTGTGTGCGTGTGTGTTTGTTTTAATTACTGTTTGTTTGCGTGTCTTTTAATTATCGGCGTCACTCGTTTATTACTTTTTGTGATTTGTGTTTAATTCATCATTTTGTTTATTGTGGCTTTGAGGGCGAATTGTTACGACACGTGCTTATCATTATTACGGAGTGCACATATAAGGAAAGGGTGGCCCCTTTTTCGCAGTCGTGTACGCAGCGGGTGAGAGGAGAGAGAGAGAGAAAGAGAAAGACAGATAAAACATTACGGGCACCAAAGAGTGCCATTTGAGGAGGACCAACGCAAACAATAAGAGAGAAGAAGGGAGGAGGGTTTGGCCGCACCTGTTCGTTTAATTTTTGTCTGCTTGTTTGTGTCTGTGTGTGTGTGTGTGTGTGGTCGATTGATATTTGTTTAAATTGGCACACGTCACGTTGCTGCTTTACACGGCGGGTTGAGGAGGAGACATGCCGCCTAAGGGACCAAAGGCCGCACCGAAGGCGGCCGCGCGCAAGGGCCCCCCTGCCGCGATGCTTGCGAAGCTGAAGCAGCACATGGAGCGGCAAAAGGAGGAGGAGGAACGACGGTTAAGGGAGGCCGAAGAGGAGGAGCGGCGGTTGCGCGAGGAGGAGCGACTTGCGGAGGAGCAGCGCAAGTTTGAGTTGGCAGAGCGTGCCAAGGAGAAGCAGCGCCGCAAGGAGGAGGAGCGGCAACTTCGCAAGGATGCAAAAAAGGACTTGAGGAATGGGGCGCTGGAGCGCATGGCGGCGGCAGGGTTTATCCTCCCGGATGTCGACAAGATACGCGAGGAACAGCAGCATGTGCGTGACAAACCGCGGCATAAACAGGAGCCAAAGCCGCGAGAAAAGACGCAGGTGGCGCACCCGAAACAGGTCGAGATGGCGGCAGCGCCCCCAGAAGAAGAGGAGGGGGAGGAGGAAGAGAGCGAGGATGATGGCGAGTTGACGGTGGCAACGGACTCCGAAGATGAGGTCGATGAGGACGACTGGGAGGCGCTGATGGAGCGCGATGACCGCCGCGCCGCACGTCACCTGGAAAACGAACGCATTCGTGCCGCGCGTGTGGAACGCGTTGAGCAGCGGCGCAAAGAGAATGAAGAACGTGCCCGTCTACGTGCCGAGGCGGAAGCAGCAGAACGTGCAAAGCAACATGTACTCGAGAGTGTTGCAAGCCTTCGCTCTCCCATATGCTGCGTTCTTGGCCATGTGGATACGGGCAAAACAAGTCTGTTGGATCGTATTCGCTCCACAAATGTGCAGGGCGGTGAGGCGGGTGGTATAACGCAGCAGATTGGTGCAACGTTTTTTCCACGTGAGGCCCTTGTTGGTGCCACAGCGGATATTAATAAGAAATACCGCTACAATTTGAACGTACCAGGGCTATTGGTAATTGATACACCCGGTCACGAGTCCTTTACAAATCTTCGAAGCCGCGGCAGCAGCCTTTGCGACATTGCAATCCTTGTTGTGGATATCATGCATGGTCTGGAGCCACAAACGCGCGAGTCCATTCGCCTGTTACGGCAGAAAAAGTGCCCTTTTATCATTGCACTGAACAAGGTGGATCGGCTATACGCTTGGACAGCAAACGAAAATATGGATATTGAGCAAACTCTCTCAAAGCAGAAGGATAATGTTCGCGGTGAGTTTGACTCACGTGTGAATCAGATCAAGCAGGAGTTGATGGCAGAGGGTTTTAACTCGGAGTTGTACTACAAGAACAAGGATATGCGAAAGGTGGTTTCTATCGTTCCTACCTCGGCAAAAACCGGTGAGGGCATCTCCGATCTCCTTCTGTTGGAGATTCAACTTGTACAACAGTTTATGGAGGGCAAGGTGACGTACAAGGATGACCTTCAATGCACCATACTTGAGGTGAAGCCCATCACGGGATACGGTGTGACGGTGGATGCCATCCTTATCAATGGTGAGTTGCATGAAGGGGACACAATTTGTCTGTGTGGTCAAAATGGTCCTATTTTCACGCAGATTCGAGCTCTTCTTACACCACAGCCGCTTAAGGAGCTGCGTGTGCGTGGTGACTACATCCATCACAAGCAAATGAAGGCGGCGATGGGTATTAAGATTGCTGCCAATGACTTGGAGTTTGTTATCCCAGGCACCCCATTGCTTGTTGTGCACAATGGCGACGATAAGGAAAAAATTGCACATGAAGTCATGAGGGAGGCTAACAGTATTTCTGATCAATTAAGTCCGGATGGTGTTGGCGTGACGGTGCAGAGCTCCACTCTTGGTTCGCTTGAGGCGCTTTTGGCATATTTGAAGGACATGAAAATCCCTGTTGCGAGTGCCTCTATCGGTCCGTTGCACAAACGTCACATGATTCAACTCCTCTCCATGAAGCGAAAGGCGCCGCGTTACGCGGTGGTATTGGCCTTCGATGTACAGGTTTCCGAAGATGCACGCGACATTGCAAAGAAAAACGACATTGATATCTTTGAGGCTAAAATTATTTACCACCTTTTTGACATGTTTACCCGGTACGTTGCTGAATACGAAAACCGTGAGAAGGAACGGGCACGCGCCATTGCCGTGTTCCCAGTGCAGCTGGCAATCATTGACGAGGCCATTCATAAGTCTGATCCGATCATTCTTCCAGTGAAGATTGAGCGCGGGCAGCTTCACCCCGGCACTCCCCTCGCGATCATGAGGGGTGATACGCCGCTACTGCTTGGCCGTGTCATGTCCATCGAACGCGACAACAAGAACATCCCCGTCGCCCGTATGGGGAACGAGTGCGCCGTGAAGATCAACTCGGGAGAGACAGGCGTTGTGTACGATCGCCAGTTCACCAAGTCAGACTCGGTGTTCTCACTCATCACGCGGCCCTCCGTGGATGCGATCAAGAAATTCAAGGATGAACTCTCAGAGGATGACATAAACCTCCTGGCGACACTTATAAAGGTATTAAAGGTCCCACCGCGGTAAAAACGTGCACGCAGAGAATGAGCTTCACATCTACCTGCTAAAAGCAACTTCTTCATATTTTTTTTTGTTGATTTACTTTGAATGGTAAAAGGGGAGGGGAAAGACACGAATAAAAGGGAAGGAAAACAGCAGGGGGAAAAAAAAAAAGAAGGATGGATAAATAAATATAAATATAAATATATGTTTCAATGCGACTGTAAATGCCGGTGAGGAAGAAAATGAAGGCGGTTGGTGTGGACGGTGTGAGGGGGGAAACACGGAGGGCGAATGAAGGGAATGATGAGTAAAGCAGGAATGGCGCATGTATTTGACTGCTAACGGGGGGGGGGGGGGGGGGGTGTTG